ATATACATATGATAGTCAAAAATAAACCAAACTTTTAATATTATGTTAATAGTACAAATATTTATAGATCATATTCAAAAGAAAAAACCTACAGCCAAATATTTCTTCAAAATGTATACCATTTATTAAAGCAGTTTTGCATCTCATTTTGTGTTACCTCCTTGAGGGCAATTATTGCAGCACTTTTTATTTCTTCTTCTGATTTGAATCTGCAACTCTTCAATAGAGCTTTCATTTTGAAGGCATGAAAGTCCGTGAGTAAGGAAGATATGAAAATACAGGCATCTGGTGTTTTGCAAGAGGTTTGCTAAGTAGAAGTGTGTAATGTATCAGGATGTTGTGATGGAGAACCTAGCTTTTTTACTTGCCTGAGATAAGGCCATTTTTGTCTTATTTTTGTAGGCAATCAAGAATATCACTATAGTACTCTTTGTAAATGGATCTAATGGAATAAATACAATGCATTAGGGCTTTCACATCAAAAAGGCATAAGCATGACTTTCTTTTAGATCTGTTGACATGCTGGTGTATACAGTAAGACCCACTTAATGCAGGAGATACGTTCCTAGATGGCAAAGCACTAAACAAAACAGCATTAAACTAGGTCATTTTAACATAGAGTAAATAGGGATGTGAACATGCAACCAAAAATAAACAAATTTTACTTTAAGTTATTTTTATATTAATTTGTATAATAATATATGTTAAATAACACACAAATATGCATACAGAAATGTAAAGTTCATTTTTTGTGATGAAGGTCCTAATTTTTCTGAAATTCTTGCTTTTGCAATAAAGTTGTGAAGTTTCCTTTGTTGCTTTTTTCTTTCCTTAAGCAAATGTTGGTAGTGGAAGATGCCTCGTTTTGCTTTTGCACTCCTTTCAAAATCTGGTTCATTTGCTACAATTTGATCAATGATTTCGGTTAACTTACCAAACTTTTACTAAGGAAATCTGTAGAGAAATTCTTTGGGTTCTTAGTTTTCAGAATCTTTATTTTCCAGTTCCACATAAATTCCTTGTTCTGCCAGTCCCTGAAGGTCATCATTGGTAAGGCTCTCACCAGAAACCTGCTGTAACTCCTCAATATCCTGCTCATCTACATCTCCTAGTCCTGCTGTATCGATTAGGTTAAGTCTGGTCAACCTAATAACACAGTGATAGGTCTTCTCGTTGAGAATTCTTGGATACCTTCAGCCATAACTTCTTCCACACTTCGTTCGTGCATTTATAAGTTAATTCTTGCCAAATAAAGTCGATATTTCCTATGGCATCCATGATGTTATATTTTTCAAAAATTGCACCAAACAAACATAGATTTAAAGAAAGTAAGCCTTTTTGCCACCTTTTGCTCATTGGTTTGTGTTCACAAATAATTGTATTATATACAAATCAATGAAACACTGCATTAAATCAGCATAAATTTTGAGCTTTTTTTAGGATTCAAGCAGACCGCATTATATCAAATCAGCGTTAAGCAGGTAGCAGAATCTTACTGTACAATAATACACATGTTTGTTCTTAAAACAATTGTACCAATTAGCTGTATAATAAATAATGTAAAAATTTTTGTTTTTATAAAAGATTAAGTTCACTAAAGTATAAAAAGAGATTACATAGGATTTTTTTTAAAAGTGCTATGTAAAACTTTTATAGTTGTAATTTTTAACAAATTCTCCAATACCTTATTTGCTAAGAAAAACTTTAATCCTTCATGAATGTTTCTGACTTGCTCTACAAGTTATCTTCAAGTGTAAAAATATACATTAACTGTTGTAAATCAAACATCCTCAAAATAAACATTTTCAAACATTGGGACAAAATTTACATACAAATCTTGGGATATATATATATATATCAAGCATGCAATGCTATAATGTTGTAAATGCCAAAAAAGAAATTTTTTCAGGAGAGGGGTAAAAAATACTTTCTAATGAATGAATTAATTTCAATTTTACAATAAAATGTTAAAAAATGCACTAGGTCACACATTCTCTGGAATATCAAAATGATGTAAATATAAACCATAATGTTTTAAGTGCCAAAATTCACATGAATTGCACTCTGGCACTTTAAACATTATATCTTCACATAAATTCATCTTAAAAATACAGCCACTTACAGGGCCAATATCGCCACAATATTCTTTTGCGGCACTAAACATTGCATTTAGAATTCAATTCTTAAATAAAAGTTCAGATTTTGCCAATTGTTTTTGGATGGATTATCGATGAAAACTGAAGTATCACTGTATAATTCATTTCGATAATTGAATTTTTAAATAACCTTGTTATTTTGTTTTTCAATGAATTTCATATTTTTTCTACACAATATATACATTCTTATTTACAGAAAATAATATATTACTCTAGCACATTCATATATTTTTCTGTTCTTTTACTGACTTTTTCATAAATACATATAACATTTTTTGTATCATTAAAAACTTCCATATTTTAATAAATTTTATGTAATATTTTAATGTTAACTGCTGATAAACAAAGCATGCTTCCTTACAATCAGTACTGGAGAGTTGCTTTATTATTGATTTAAAAATTGTTTCAATTACTAATGTAATGTAGTTATTTAAGCATTAAAAACAGTTATAAAAATTAAAACTTCAAATTTATATGATGAGCTTAAAATCTGAAAGATTCATTGGATGAACAGTTTAATATTTAAAATGCATTTTAAATCATATATATTTTTGTCCCCTTAAGTAGTGATTTAAGCTATAAATAAAAATCTTACAAATTGAAAATGCTTGAATATTTAAAGATTGTAAATTTACATTAATTATAAATATATTTTATTGATCATTACCTGGACACAGATGTCCACAGGAGTAATTCATATCTCTACTTTCTTGGATTTATACAAGAATCTCAAAGTAGTCTCTCTCTCTTTCTGCTATTCTCCAAACAGATCCATTTTGCAAAATCTTAAACAAATTTAGCTGCTAACTGAATATATCATTAGTATATTCAAATATGAATCATAAAAATATGATGCTTTTTATAAATTACACTCACAAAACAAAAATTTTGATTATCCAGGGAATTGTCATATCCATGCCATTCTCATTTAATTTATGAAGAAATCAACTTTTTCTATGGTCTCTGGAAGTGTTATCTTTATGAAATTTAAGACTAGAAAAAGGATAAATTCAGAAATATCATCATTTTCTTAGTTTATATTCAGAAATTTCAACCTCAAATTTTTTCACATCTTTTCTTAACAATTATCAAGAAAATAAAGTTGGATAAAAGAAATATTGATTTCTCTGGAGAATCAGATCTATATTAATTCAAAACAGCTTCATTATATTTTTCTAATTAAACTTGAATGTTTATTCATAAATGTGATATCTTTCTAATAAATCAATGATTAATTTTACTTTTAAAAATGAAATAAATAATTTGAGATTACAATTACACAAAAAAAAAAAAAAAAAAGAAAGAAAGAACAAAATTGTTATTTGAATTGGTAAATAACCATAAAATTTGGGTACATTAAATAAAACAATTTTTAAAAATATCATCATTATGCAGTTTGATTAATAGTCATACTTAGAATGATAAAAATTAATATTTGTTCATTTGATTTTATTTCAATCCATAATATATATTTAAAAAAAAAAACGAACACTTTCTAGTATGTCTGTGAAATCAAGTGGTTTAATATATTATACAGTGAAGTTTTAATGATTTATAGCCATTATATATATTTTAACAAACAAGATTGTAGATTTAATAATGATGCAAGATGTTACAAATCTTTTATATCAATGATTTGATTTCATATTTGCAAGACATTTGCATGTTTTGCACAATATCTGAATACTTTAACAAAATTAAGAAAAACAATTTTAATTAATATTATGGTTACAATGTAACTAATTATTTTAAATTTATTTTCCACTTCTCATAACTAAAATTTAGTGAACTAGTTTTAAAATTTTTCATATCAACATTCATGTTGTTTCTTAATAGAAAATTTATTAGTTTTCTTACATAAAATAGGAGTGCAGTTTTTTAATTAAAAAAACATTAATATCCTTGTGTCATAATCTATGTATGATTCAAATATGAGATAGATCTTTAGATCAACAATACAGTCACTCTGTAAATTTAAAATCAAATTCTATTCTAGATATCTTGTAAGTCAATTCAATCACAAATAAAAAAAATCAGCAAGTGCTTTCAATTGATTGTTATCAATACTAGAATTTTGTATGAAGTAATAATGATAATAATAAAACAAAACTTAATAGTCTGAATCAATTGATTGTAAGCTGTAGAACGACTGTATTGCAATCTTTAGAAAATTATTCAAGTTATTTTATATTAAATAATATTTTAAATTAATTTATTATTTTAAGTAAAAAATATTTGGTGGTTTATGAATTTAAAGTTAATTCACAGATACAGTATATTTATAGAAGTTTACTGATATAAGGGTCCAGTTATAAACTCCGTAATGTAACTGTACCCATAGCTATAAGCGTATCCGGATAAGGCTGTACCTTATTCCGTAAGAAAAGTTTGGATCGATCAAACTTTTATAGTAGGGATACAGAGAATTGACCACTGCACATGCGCTAAGTTGCCATCAGTTGATGTACAATCGGAATTTGTGCTGGAAGCAACCGACGAAACTTTGACAAATTGATCGAAATGTAACTTTTGACCGACAATGATGCTTTTGAATAATATAAAATTTTAAGGTAAAAATTACTTTGGTCATAAAAAATAAAAAAATAATAAAACAAATAAATAATTATACTGTTAGATCTGGCAATAACTACCAATGATTTTGCGCATGCTCACAATGGACTGCTTCGTAAACCGTAAAAAAGTTTGTTATAGAAATCCAGTGTAGCAAACATTTACGAACACAGATACGGTTACATTACGGAGTTTATAACTCGACCCTAACTTTAAAACACATTATTAAAAATAATAATTTTAATAAAATTACTCACTGAAATACTGTAAGTTCGTCATTAACTACAAGATCAGATTTTTTCAGAAAGCTAATTAATACATTTGTCTCTAAACTCCCAAAATCATCCATGTCAGCAACTAATTCAAAATTCCAAGTAATAAAATTGCTACAAGCAGTATAAATAGGAATATGGCCACAATTTAATGTATATTGAAGCCACGAAACCTGAAAATGTAATAAAAATAATAAAAATCTTGTAATCTTGTCAATTACAAGCAAATCAGATGATTACATAACTTTTAATTATTTCATTTTTAAAATAAAAGTTTATGTAAAATTAAATCTACATGTAATAGTTAAAAATCCTCCAACCTAAGCATTGTCAAGAAAAAAAATATTAATTTTAATCTATTCTATTTATAAGCTCTAGTGCAAAGATATTCATAAGAGTGGAATCGCACAGCAGTTACATTCAGGCCTACAACTGCATATCCTCTTGCTATTCTGGGTTTGACTCTTCAACTTTTTTCAATAATTTTTTTTAAACTTCCTTTTTTATTTTTGAGAGAAAGGTGGGTTACATTTTTCCACTACTGAATTCTTTATTTTTGCATTATTTTAGTAATTTACAGATATATTTTGATTCTCTAGATCAGTAGTTCTCAACCTTTCTGAAGCCATGAAACACCATACATATACTTTTCATTACACGGAGCATTAGCATCAACATACTCAAAAATTTTTAAGCAATTCCATGTTTACTATTCTCAGGAAACAATAAAGCAGTAAACTAATAAACTTTAATATATTGAATAAAATAAAAACATGGAATTGTCTACGAATATAGCAATGGGAATAAATTTGAATAAAAACTTTAAACTCTCTTCTTTCATGGAACATTCAAGGTAAGTTTGTGGAACACTGGTTAAGAAGCACTGCTCTAGATGCTTTATGGTTCTCTCATTTGACTTACAATATACTTTCATTGTATTTTTGCAAAGTTTCCAATAGCATAAGTAAACATTAACCATAAATTAAAGGAACTGAAAATATTCTATTAAGCTGGGAGTTGAAGATGTCCTAGCTGTATTAAAACTTACACCAACTTATAAATGGAAATCAGATATAGACCTTATTACAGTTTTTAAGTTTTGAGTGTGGGTTAATCATGAATACCTTATTTCAAGTTTCAATTTGTCTTTGGACAAATTCAAGTATCTGAAAACTTTGTGTATAACCATTAAAAAATTTACTAACTTTTATTTAATAAGTAAATTACTAAAAATGCAAACATTAATAATTCAGAAGTGAAAAAATGCAACCCATCTTAAGAAAAAAAAAATAATAATAATAAAATCAAGACTCAAACCCAAAACAGCCAGGGGATATGCACTCATAACACCAGAAAACCACTACACCAACCATTCTTATAACTGTGTTTGCAATAGAATGTATAAATATAATAGCTTAAAATTGGTTCCTTTTTTCCTGAAAATCTTAGGATTGAGAATTTATTATTATTATATATCAGTTTAATTTCACTTAAACTTTTATTTTAAATACAGTAGAGCATCGATTATCCGAAAGAATTCCAGGCAGCAAATTTAAATTTTCGCCAGTGCTGTGGCGCTGNAGTTAATTTTAGCATTTTATTAAAAACGGCATATTGAAACTTGTACACGATAACTCTGCTGTTTCATTTTCGTTGGCCCACCCTGTATAAAGAATAGGCTTGTGTGAAAATCCACCACTACCATTATGAAACATAGACATTACAAAATTAAAGAACAAATTGCATTCTTTTTAAGTTCAATAAAAAACAAGGGCAATTTGGCTAAAATAAAGAATTGGCCTTTAAAATAAAAGATGTCTGGCTACACTAACAAAGACTAATGGATAATGAAAGTTTTACTGTACCATACCCAGATATTTTATATTAAACAATTGTTTAGCAGCAAGTTATTTCAACTCTGACTGACTGGTTAATTACAATTTATTTATCCAAAGAAATCTATACTAAAGACAGGCTTATATCTTGTACGGTAGTGATTTCATTGTTACTATCCTACTGAAGTGATGTCATTCAAACCCTAATTTACAGACATTTAATACACGTGTCTAGACAGTTGACCGACAGACATTTGGCAGACAGACAATTCACCAGACAGACATTTGGCCAATAAACAATTTTCCGAACAAGCATTTGAACAAGACATATTTAATCAAATGGACATTTCATTGACTGGTCATAACTATTTTTGTAGCAAAAATAGTTATGACCAGTCAATGAAATTAATTACAGCAACAAATGTAAAACAAATAAAAAATGACTTATGACTTGATTTTCAGCACCTTCAAGCAGATTAGATTTTAATCCTATCTCAGTCACCATTGACTACGAAAGAGTGACTCTTAACAGCATTACATCATGTTTCCAAAATGCAAACATTTTTTGGCTTGTTTTTTCCATTTGGGGCAGTGCTTGGAGAGAAATACAGTACTTAGGTCTACAGACTTGATATAATGATTCAATTAATACAATCATCATCAAATCTTTTCAAGCATTAACATTTGTGCCAATAAGTATGTTGCTGAAACCTTCAAGGAATTAGTCTCAACATTAGATGAGGAAACTGACAAATTTCTATCAGAGTTTCTAGGCTACTCTGAAGCAACATGGATTGGTTTTATACATTGTGGAAGATGACGAAGGCCAAGAGCCAAGTATTCGAGCCAAGTATTTGGAACACATTAGAAAGAACAACACAAGGTTTTCCATGGACTACTACCTCTTTAGAAGGATGACACAAAGGGTTTGAACAGAGAATGAGAATCACCCATCCTTCTGTTTGCCATCTAGTTTCAAAACTATGAAAAGAACAGTCAGATTGGGAGTTGACAATCAAGATGGTAATGTCAGGAGTTGAATTGAGAAAATCAAAGTAGTACCAGATATTAAATAAAAGGCTGATGTCTATCATTGAAAAATGTGAGGTGTATCCCAAAATTCATTTTTGAAAGCAATTGCCCAAAATCTTTATATTGAATGTTTTAAAAAATTTTTATAGTATTTTCTGCAAAGCAAACATTGTACATTAATTTTAATATGTATAATAAACTGTTTAAAATCAAACTATGATATTATCCTTATCTTTATACTTTACTTTATAAAGTAGCTACAACAAAACAATTTTGAAAAAAGAATTACAAATAATAAAACACCAAAAGTGAATTCGTTCAGAAATCCACTCGGCAAAATGTTTATCAGTCAAGTGTCTGGGTACCTTAATACATTGTAGATCTATAAAAGAATCATAGATCCTTTTTATAAAAAGTACACAAACATTAAGTCTTTTTTCACAAGTGAAGGTCACAGGTTGCTATGCACATTTTTAAATAAAATGCTATTTATTAAAAAGCTGGTAAAGCCATGAATAGGCAATGCACAAAGAAAAAACTTGAAAAGAAATACATACTTAGTAAATAAGTAATTTGCCTGAAAATCTTAATGCCAACTGTGGCAGCTCAGTCAGTAGTGACTATAGGATATTAAAAACTTCAATATTTTGTCTTTAGTTAAAATCTAATGTGCTATTATTTTTTATCTTTTGTTGTTCTATGTTTCAACTTTACATGTGAAAATACAATTAAGATTATTAAACAATAATAATTACATTTTTACACATACCTTTGATAATTCACAAGTCAGACTCTGATTAGCAAGAGTTTGAAACCATAGAAACACAGAACAAGAGCAAAAGATAAAAGAAAAATTGCATGTTTAATTTTAAATAAAGACAAAATATTAAATTTATAAACTATTGTAAAACAAAAAGTACTTTATTTGATTAAATTTGATTAGAAAACCAAGAGGTTAAAATGCAAGTCAGAGAGTCAGAATCTACAGGCGTTACTGACCAGGTCACAAACAATTGTCCAGATTGTCAGTCAAATTACTTACTACATGTATATTTCTTTTCGTGTTTTCTCTTTTTGTATTACCTATTCATACAAATGACTTTATCTGCCTGTAAAGGGCACCAAGTTAATTTTAGCATTTTATTAAAAACGGCATATTGAAACTTGTGGCTTTTCCTTGTTAGTAATAAGATATAATGTCTCTTATTAATGTTAATTATGATTTATTAATAATATTTAACTTCAAATCGTTTGGCTTAAATATTTTAAAATTTTAAACAAAAGTCATTTTAAATATAATCAAGCAAGTACAACAGAGCCCAATTAACTAAAGTTCAGCATTATCTGAGTAGAAGTGTAAGTGAAATATGCCATTTTTTCTTACATGGTAATTTATAAAAGAAAGTTCAAAACAATAACACATTACAGTATAAAATGATTTGTTACTCTACCTGTTATCATTTAACCTCAATGTGAAACAAACCATTCACATTAAAATTTAAATACAGTAAGACCCTGCTTAATGCGGGGGATGTGTTCCTAGACAACAAAGTGCTAAGCGAAACAGCACTAAATGAGGTAATTTAAACAGAGTAAATAGGGATACAGGAACATGAGACCAAAAATAAACAAATTTTACTTTAATTTTAAGTTATTTTTATATTAATTTGTATAATAATATATGTTAAATAACACACAAAAATATGCATACAGAAATGTAAAGTTCATTTTTTGTGATGAAGGTCCTAATTTTTCTGAAATTCTTGCTTTTGCAATAAAGTTGTGAAGTTTCCTTTGTTGCTTTTTTCTTTCCTTAAGCAAATGTTGGTAGCGGAAGATGCCTCGTTTTGCTTTTGCACTCCTTTCAAAATCTGGTTCATTTGCTACAATTTGATCAATGATTTCGGTTAACTTACCAAACTTTTACTAAGGAAATCTGTAGAGAAATTCTTTGGGTTCTTAGTTTTCAGAATCTTTATTTTCCAGTTCCACATAAATTCCTTGTTCTGCCAGTCCCTGAAGGTCATCATTGGTAAGGCTCTCACCAGAAACCTGCTGTAACTCCTCAATATCCTGCTCATCTACATCTCCTAGTCCTGCTGTATCGATTAGGTTAAGTCTGGTCAACCTAATAACACAGTGATAGGTCTTCTCGTTGAGAATTCTTGGATACCTTCAGCCATAACTTCTTCCACACTTCGTTCGTGCATTTATAAGTTAATTCTTGCCAAATAAAGTCGATATTTCCTATGGCATCCATGATGTTATATTTTTCAAAAATTGCACCAAACAAACATAGATTTAAAGAAAGTAAGCCTTTTTGCCACCTTTTGCTCATTGGTTTGTGTTCACAAATAATTGTATTATATACAAATCAATGAAACACTGCATTAAATCAGCATAAATTTTGAGCTTTTTTTAGGATTCAAGCAGACCGCATTATATCAAATCAGCGTTAAGCAGGTAGCAGAATCTTACTGTACAATAATACACATGTTTGTTCTTAAAACAATTGTACCAATTAGCTGTATAATAAATAATGTAAAAATTTTTGTTTTTATAAAAGATTAAGTTCACTAAAGTATAAAAAGAGATTACATAGGATTTTTTTTAAAAGTGCTATGTAAAACTTTTATAGTTGTAATTTTTAACAAATTCTCCAATACCTTATTTGCTAAGAAAAACTTTAATCCTTCATGAATGTTTCTGACTTGCTCTACAAGTTATCTTCAAGTGTAAAAATATACATTAACTGTTGTAAATCAAACATCCTCAAAATAAACATTTTCAAACATTGGGACAAAATTTACATACAAATCTTGGGATATATATATATATATATATATATGTGTGTGTATGCATGTATGTGTAATATGTACCAATTTTACAAATTCATCATAATACCATAAT